GTATCATAAGTCTTTGAATAAATTTCACAGGTTTCAAAGCACTTAATAGCTTGATAATTAAGAGTTGTTTCAGTATGATTTATTTCTAAAATGAAATATGGGATGATAGATTTTGATTAATTTCATTGTACAGATAATAAATATTCAATAAGAATAGCCGTACTATGTCAATCCTTGAAAGGCTTAGTATTATTTTGATATTTTTAGATGAAACGAGCATCATACCAGAAGAAACATCGACTGAAATCAACAAGGAAGAAACATCAACCGAAATCAACAAGGAAGAAACTACAAGTCAGTATAGTAAGTAGTTCTCTTCTATGTAATATAAAAAGAAATGATTTAATTTATCCAGTACAAAGCACAATTCAAACAACTATTGGTAAGACAACAACAACAACACACTCTACTACGAGTTCAATCATTGGAAAAAGTAATTATCTGTTCACATGAGGAGTATGTTTGAAACTTTTTTTAATGTATTTTATATTAGCTTGTTCTCGACCTCTTATCACACTTTTTCCAAGTCCGTCAAGTCTTGAAAGTCCTTTACAATTTCGACGAAGTCAAGACTTTTACATCAGTGCAACGCTTACATTAAATTGTGCTGAATCGCTTGACATTGAAAGAAAATGGTCAGTCTTTGAGTGTACTCCGAATTGTTCTATTGAAGCCAAAATTGACTCATCAATAAAGTTAATTCTAAATGAATTATTTATTCCAGCAAGAACTTTATCTTATGGTGTTTATGAATTAAAACTAACTGTAACAATGACTGCCTCATCTAATCTTATTTCATCAGAGTCTTCTTTTGTTAAAATCAATCCATCAGGTATTACTGCCAATCTTGTTCAATTCGGTACATCCTTGATTACAAGCAGTTATGAAGAAGACCTTATACTCAATCCTGGTAATTTTTCGATCAATCCTGATGAGACTACGTTCAATGCTAGTGTAAGTGTTGATATTGTTATTATTCGAAAATTTTTTTAAATCTCATAAAAATATTTCAGGATTGGACCTATCAATATAGATGTAGACTTTACAATACAACAAATATGGGAACGGATACTTATATCTATGATAATACTAGCTCATGTTTTTCAAATCAAGCAGGTACTAACATCAAAAATCAATTTGTATTATTAAATGGTCAATTTTTCGTTTAGATGTATCAGCATGGCGATATAAGCCTATGAATGATTCTCAATCATCAGTGAGGATTCAAGCTAGATCATTAGAATATAATCGTATATATCAATTCAGTGTTTTTATGATTAATCGTCGAAATATTACATCTCAAGCCACTGGTTATGTACTTGTAAACGTCGAAAATACTCGTACTCCGATCATTGCTGTAGCGTAAGTTGTCATTCTTTTGATAGTCTATGATTTTTAACATTCATTAAAATATGTAGTTGTGTAATTTCAACAATGTGTTCACCAAATCTACAATATCAATACATTAATCCAAGTACACAGATTGCTCTCTTTTCTGTTTGTACTGGCAACTGTAGACCGATAGCAAATATTCATTGGAATATTTATAAAGGTTCAAATGATTCATTGGTGGCTGCTGTTGTTGAATGGACTCAATTTAATCATATGAATTCTTCTCAACATCTTCATTTTCTTGGTAAGAATATTTAATTGATAAAAATTTTTTCAATAAATATTCTTTCAGGAGTAAATACAACTAATTTCACTGCTATCAATACATTATTTACTAAAAATCCAAATATTAGTTATTGGCGTTTTGAAGTTGTTTATTCATTTTATAATGAAACAAGTTCGAGTGCATTAGATTTTATGATTAATCAACCACCTGAAAATGGTTCTTGTTCGATTGATCCTCAAAATGGTACAACAACTACTTTATTTATAGTTAATTGCACCGATTGGTTTGATAAAGATAATATCTCAGATTATTCATTTTATCGTAAGAATATACTCTTGAACATAGACTAGAATATTTGTTCTTTTTTCAATCATAGTTTGGTATGAAAAGTCTTCTGAACTAGTGATGCTTGCTTTCACAACAAGTTCTACCTTACAAATAAGATTACCGCCTAGTGATGACAATACATCAACGCTTAACTTAACAGTTCATATTCGAGATACACTCAACGGTGTAAGAGAATTTTATCTAGAAGAACGTATTGTCGTTATCCTGAATGAAAGTTCCATTAACACATTTATTGATTCTATACAAAATACAAACAATAATGATCCTATCGTTCAAGCTCTTGCTAGTGGTAATCAACATATTATTGCACAAGTAACTACTATATTTTCACAAGAATTAAATAAGAGAAATAAAAAAAGCTTGGAAACAGCTATAGCAAGTAAATACGCCATAGATTATCTCTTTCATAGTATTAAAAAAATTTTTTTTAGATGGCATTCCTGCTGCAAAAATTTCAGTATCACCATTAGGTAGCAATAGACGATCTGAGGTATAAATTATTTCTTTTTCTTTTGTTTGATATGTTAATATTATTAATCGAATAGGCATTCGAACTAACAAATAATTCAATCATTGATGAATATATTAAAAAATTGAATGTGTTAGCAAAGATACGTGATTATCTCATCAAAATAAATACCAATCTTGCAATCAACTCTATAGATAGTATTAAATTGCGAGCAAGCAGTCTTGTGCAATTAACTGAAGCAACAAATGAACTCACAAGAACAGCATCTGTACCTATATTTGTCTTTCTTTCATTTAAATTATATGTCTTTTTAATAAGATACTCGCATCACAGAAATGTTATGAACTTGCTCGTACACTCAAAGCTATTGCTATGAGAGTTTCCTATGAAGACGCACAATATGCATCTACTCGAATTTCTTATTGTATTAATAATGTTTTAACTGTAAGAATTTTATCATTACATGAAAATCAAATATCTGTTTTTAGGCTATTAATGCACCATTACAACAACGAGGATTTATTCTTAATGCTGAATCAATTTATGAAGATAGTACTGTTGATGATTATGAGACTGATCTTGAACTTATGGAATTAAATTTAAGTAAGATTTCTTTTTATGAAACATAATCCAAAAGGAATGTTGAAGTATATAGGATAGAAATTTGTACCGCTCCCTTCTAGTCCTACAAATCTTCGAAACGCGCTCGCAAGGAAGGGCTAGAAATGAGGAACAAGTTCATCTTGAGAAACAACGTATTCATTTTTACTAGGAACGTGTTGGAGTCCGTTCCCATGTAATTCGAGCCGGACAAAAACCGCCAGTTGACTGTTCAGTTTAATATGCGCTATACCCTGGTCGACTCTGCCCAACGAAATCCCTGAGGAATCCCTATCGTGAGTCCCCGGGAGAGTTGCATATCTCAGGACCCCCCTAAAATTCTTCGGGGAGTCCCTCTAAAATTTTCATAAATTTGAATTTTTCAGAGAATTCCAATGGTGGCTTCTGAAGATACTCTGATAATACTCCTCAATTTCCTGGGGAGTCTGAGATTCCCCTCTTAACTCCCCAAGGAACTTACGACAGGGATTCTTCTAGCGAGTCTCGACTAGGGATAACGGCGACTAATCGTCGATTTTTTTGACAATGTTGCATCATCCCAGATCAAACAAGCACGGTCGTAAACGGTTATATACGGAGAAATACGGTGATTTACATGGACCACTGTTACGATCGTTTACTATCCTAGTATACGGAGTTCGTATATGGTCTCCGTTTTGCTCCGTATATGATCGTATTTCGCTGTATACGGTCACGGTGATATACGACCGTAATACTAAACCATGTAAACCGTCAAAATACGGTCGTATCATAAACGTATGCAGTCATTTACAGACGTATACGTACTCCGTATTCATTGATCTGGGAATATTTTTGAAGTCTGGTAAAACTGATCGAATTGAGTCGACTTGGATGCATTCTGAAAATGTTGATGCGCCTGAGTCGCTTGTACTAACCACAGAGCTCAAATCGACTCCAACTCATGTCGTCCATACTTCATTAAAACCGACAATTCCTGGTGGTTCTGAGGAAAACCAACGATTGGACTCGGTTATTCTTCATATATCTTTTTTTTATTATTTTATTAGTAAATTAATATTTTTAGTCTTGGAAAAGCTGATTCCAACCTTAAAAAATCGACTTCATCATGAAACAGTAAATTCTATTAGATGCAGCCACATGTTTTCTCATTGATCAAGTAGTCTAACGAATGACTATTTTTATGGTGTCATCTTTGATAAAAACTCAAACTCGAAAACTATGTGAATATGCATGATGTAGCTGGTACAGGAAGCTTCAGCGTATCGACAATATAGAGAGGAAGTGATTTCGGCCAAAATTTGTCAATTTTGTAAGAGTAAAAAAATTTGATCCATTGTGACACGAAAGAAAAATTCAGATGGAGAACCGCGGTTAACCGTCGGTTTTCGAGTGGTCAGAATGACATGGGCCAAGATATATAGAAAAAAAACACAACCTCCCTGCGATTAGCAACAGCAGCTATATCGTGTTTCACATTTTAATTCCGCAGAGATTGGGCCCACAGCCTTTTTTTTATGATGACAAGTGATTGTTAATTAAATTTATATGTATATAGATTTACTTACTAATCAGGATGATTTTTCAAGAGAAATATTGAAAGAAAATCGAATTCGTTATAATCAAAAGAAGACAGTAAGTTTGAAGTACTCATATTCTTTTTCTTTTTGTCAAACTTTTGAATTTCATAGGCAAATGAAATTGGTAAACAAGCTAATGCAACTTTTTCATTAATCACTACAATACTAAAAATTCATTTAAATATTGGACAAAACATAAGCATGAACTCAGCATCATTATTAATTAATATAGAAACTACAACAATTGAATCTTTATCAAATAAAATAATTAAACAAGTTGATCAAGCACAAATTCATATTCCATCGAATTTCGAATCAAATATACCAAAAAATACTACAATATCGCTTCGAGTAATTTATTAATTTTTGAATACATATCTACGTATTTTGTTTATTTAGTCAACAATGCATTCATTAGCTCCAGCTGGTGCTTCTCAATCATCAGCAAATACAAATATGTCAACAGCTATTTCATTATCTTTACTTGATATTTCTGGAAAGGAAGTATCTATTCATGCTAGTAATAAACAACCAATCGAATTTTTTATTCCTCGAGATCCAAATTTTATATTACCAAAAAGGATTTTACAAAATGTTACTTCAAAATCTAATGAAGAACTATTTTATTTAACTGTCATTCATACAAATGAATTTATAACTAATAATAATTTGACAATGTCTGTACATTTTGAAATACGACCACTTGATCGTAGTCTCGGCTATATATTTATCTATAAATTTGATGGTACACCTTATTTGAATAGTTCGAAAAAAAATATTGATGGCTGGTCTTTATTCTGTCCATTGAGTAAGTATTATTATTATTATTATTATTCTATTTAAAAAATTAATCTTTACAATAGATTTAACAGAAGATGGTATTTATAAATATTTTATTGATAACCGAAAAATATTATATCATAAATTGATTGTATTTGGTTTACGAGAATTAAATTCAACAGAAATTGATAATTTCTGTCAAAATACGTCAATTAGTAATAGTCCACCTATAATTGATGAACCTTTGAATTTTACATCTGACTATGAATTACGTATTTATACATCTGGTTGTTATTATCTTGATGAATATAATAATTGGCAATCCAATGGTTTATGGGTATGATTAAACTTGTTTTTAAATATATTCAATATTTCTATATATTAAATAGGTTGGTCCATTGACAGATTATAATAAAACACAATGTTTTTCTACCCATTTAACTACATTTGCTAGTAGTTTTCAAGTTTTATTTCTTTCGATTCATACAAATGAATTTAATCTTAAAAGATATCTTACACAATTCAATCAGTTAGAATGGTTTACAAGACATAAATTTTTTAGTCATGAAGAATATATTTTCAAACAAATTGACCAACCAAGGGTAAGGTCTTTCTTTTATCAGCTATTTAATAGTAACGATAAGTAATCTTTTTCTATCAATAGAATGATACGACACATAACAAAGAGTTTGATCCTTTTCAATTATCATTTTATCAAATGTGCAGTAATTTGGAACTTCAATAATGCCTCCTAATCGTAATCAAGATACTTTTTTCCTATCGAATAATCTCATTTATTCATAAAATATTTATTTATTTTTTTCTAATTTGCATCAATAAATATCGAATCGACATCTCAGCTATGTTTAGTTTTTCTTTTAAATATTCAATACAGATCAAAGCAATTCGTCAGTTATTCTTCTATATCTAAATATATGGATGTCTATAAGAAATTTTAAAATATTTCATAAAAATGAAATGATTTTCATACAGAATTTTTTCACTTTTTTTCATTGTACATCGTCAATTAGATTTCATATTTATACTGCATATACTAGATGATATAACTCAAAGATACAACATATGATCAGTATCTAGATGTAGTAATTTATTCAAAAGTGTACAAATACAGGGCGGTCAAAATTAAGGTAAGAAGTGTGAGTTCTAACGAAATGTTTATTAAAGAAATAGAACTAGAAAATGATACACACACACACAATAATAACGTACTTGTGAAATATTTTTAACAATGAAGTTTTTCACAAAAATTGCTTAATCTGTTCACCTTCTAAGTCTACTCAAAGCTGCAATTGCTCAGGGACTGATTGACACGCTCGTCGATATAATTCCATTGGTAAGTTTCGTATTTCTATAATAATATCATTCTTGAATGCTTGAAGAGTTCGAGGTCTTTGATTAAACTTCACACAAAGAAAACAGTTGCAGTCAAATCTGGAAACCGTAGTGGTCAATCAATTAGTTCACGTCGACTGATCCATCGATTAGGAAGCTTTTTATCCAAGAAGTTTCGCACAGACTAAGCATAATGAGCTGGAGTTCCATCCTGCATATAGAATATTTCTTCGAAATTCATTCAATATTCAATAGCAGGAACAATTTCTTTATTCAGCATCTCCACATAGCTATGTGTAGTAACAGTGTCGCGAAAGAAGAACGGATTTATGATACCTCAGTCTATACAGTAACACCCAGAGCATTCATCTCTTGCTTAATGACGATATGAGAATTTTCTACAGCGTAGTAAATGCAATTATGTTGATTGATGTGCCCATTCAACTTGAAAGTAATTTCGTTGGTCCAAACAATTTGGTCAGGCAACGAAGTCTGATGCGGTCAGCTGTGAACGTTCACTTATGATGAAAAATAATCTGAAAACGATTCAGCATTATTAGGTTGCAATGGTCATTTACTGCTTATTTTTATTCGATCATACTACATACAGTGTTCGAATAAAAACGTACAGTTAGAACTGTGCATAAAGGCAAGAATATGTATATATGATTAATAAAATATTAATTGTATTTATGAAAGTTTATGTAGATTGAGACTGTCCATAGTCAATGTAGCAATAGTATCTTTATCTAATTGAATTGCATTCCATATAATATTCAATGTTGGTGTTTTGATTTTGTATTCTTGCAAGATTTTTCCATCGGATGAAAAATGTAAAAGACGAGGTTGTAATAATTCCATAACAATCCATTGATCATTATTTATCGAACAACAATGAGCAACTGTATTGAGTGGAACAGACCATAAACGTTCGAATGTTATTGATGAATATAATTCGAAGCGTCTTTGAAAAGCATGAATATTCGAGATAATAAGAGCAATTTTTTCATTCGCACAAGTAAATGTAAGAATACCTTCATATCTTGAGTATAAAGCTAATAATTGCCATTCTCTAACAAATTCAATTGTTGGTCGAAGTGTATATTCGTAGAGAGATGTAGACATATCTCCAGTTGATAAATACAAAGAAGTATCTGAACATGATCCAGATGACCATTCTCTGTCGTTAATAGGAGCAATCTGACATTGATGAAGTATCATTGTATTATCATCGAGAGTGAAAATAGTTTTTTCTGTAATAAGAATAAATTGATCAAGTGTTGATGACCAACAAATATCAACATGAGCATAGATCCATGGTATCTCTTTAACAAGTGTTAATTGTTTATCAAATAAACATAAATTAGGTTTTTGCTTTAGTATTATATGTTTATCATTACAGGCTATAGATACAGAAGTTTTATCCTTGATTCTAATAGTTCGATATGGACGTTGAAAAGGAAAAAGATTTTGTCGCTGTATTTTCTGTTGAAAATCTTTTGTTATTTTGTTGTCTCGCCTAGGTTTACCGACATTGAGTTCAACTTGTTGATGATCAGTTATTTCTTCAGATTGTTGATTATTTCCATTATCGAGACATTTTATTCTTTGATAAACATTTCTAAACCATTTGTTAAGAATTGTGAAACAAGATCGTTTTGTCAAAGATCGATTATTAGATTGTACGGAAACTAAATCTATTTCATTAACTAATCGAGGAGATTCATTTGAACGTTCTTGAAAATAATCATTGTTTAATGTATGAATTGAATGTTCGTACATGTCTATAGAGGATGAATGTTGTGAAGAATGAGGTTCCAAGGAGAACTATGTCTTTCTATTATTGATTAGTCTATATTCAGTAGAATAGAATATTAAGTTTACTTGACATCATATGAAAAAATAAAAATCACGTACACACGTAGTATTCCACTTTTTCTTTTCTATTTCAATACCACTTGTCTTTTATACACAAAAAAAAACGTGAACAATCGAAGAATATATATGATATATACTATCATATTAAATTTTTATTAAAAAATCAACTATATTCAAGTGTTTATAATTTAATTTTTATGTTTCATGAAGTTTTTATATAATTCTATCTTTATATTTCAGATGTTAAGCTCAATAAAAATATTTCTCTATCTATCAATTCATTGAATATAGAATGATAGAAAATTTTAATATCTAATAATTGAATATCATTGATGGAAAATAATTATGTAACTATTGAAAAATCTCATATTTTATCAAAAATATATTGACACGTGTACCTTTTTCTCCATCTGTCACATTCACATAAAAGCAATTAATGATTGAAGGTTAGACACATAGTCAACATAAAAATAAGAACATCTGTTCGATATTCTACTTCGACTACAAGAAATTTACATCAGAAAGTAAGAGATGAGCTAGATAAAATAATGCGAACCCTATTCACAAAAAAGAAAATTTAATTGGTAAATCGATGCATTTTATCAACTGAAATAAACTCATAGGTACATCATGTAAAACATAGAATGTTAAAAAGAATAGAGATAAAATGTTATATCCAATAATGATTTTAAATAATCTTAAGTAGTAATGATTTAATAATGAAAGAAGTGAGTTTATTGTAAAACAAAAAAATGAAAGGTTCAAATTTGAAATATTGGATGAATGATTAGTAATATTTTTTTTTCTTATTCTTATTTATTCAAATATATGTCAACGATTTCCAAGGTTAAATTACTCAAATAGATAAAACAGATTTTTTTTTTATTGATTGATTATCATCTGTTAATAAATATTTCAATGTCATCATTGATAAAGCAATAACTTTCAAAATGATTGATGTTTTGCATTTTGACCTTAATAACTTAGGCGTCTTTACTTAACTATTGAAGATGAAATATATTTTTGAAAAAATTAAATTTAGTAATCAAGTAACAAAAGAAAGAAATTTAATTATTGATACGATTCCTAGGATTCTAACTGAAGATTTCTCAATTGTGAAGGAATGATTTAAATTACAATGCATGAATTTTGATAGATTTGAAATGCTTTGCATGAAAGAATTAATCAAGTTCTCACTTTCATTGATAGCAATTTATGTGATAGATTAAATATGAACTTAATGAAACATATAGGAATTCGAATACATCAAATAATATTTCATTAGATAACAGTTCTAATATCGTTCTGTGAGCTATGAAAAACTAACGACGTAATATGACACATTATATATGTCAAATAAAAAAATGTGTTCTTTCTTTTTATATGCTTTACAAGATCATTTATCTTTTCACATAAAACAACATAAACGTCACTAATAAATAACCTACGTCAGCTTTTTTAATTTTTCTATGACATATGTATTAATTCAATTGACAACTATAATTCTAACGATGAAAGTGATATTCATATAACAGAAAATTTATAAATCTCACTTGTTCATTCATATTATGTGAGGGTGTGACCGTAGATCTTATGTTTATTCACACTCATACTTACAAAGCTAATATAGAATGTGAGATAAATCACAATGAAAAACATTTCTAAAATCATCCGTTCTTGATCTCGATAACCACTATACAAAGTTATAGAAGTTTACATTATGAAAATTTCAATTATATAAATCCTGCTAACTCTAATTGGAGATTACGGATAGCATATTTATTTTACTTTTTCTTGAGGTAAATATATTTTACTTAAATAAAAGTAAATATTGTATAAATTGTGTTCGAATTATCTAATAAATATTGAAGTTAATATTAGGGATGTACAATTCATACTCACGCTCATATGGATGTGGCCCTTCGCTGTACCCATATCCAAATCCACACCCTCGAGGGAAATATGTCACGCGGAACAGTCAACATATTGTGTCAAAAATTTGTCATATTCTCAGAAAAGAAAAGATTTCAGTTTGTTTCGATGCAAACGGTGACATAAAAGATAGTCTGTGCAGTTCGATAAATGGCAACAATACGTAGTGCCTCGAAATCTAGCTTCGAAATTCTCTTTCATCAGAAGCGGCATCAACCATCTCAAAATTGGCGGTTGGCTTATCGTTCATTTCAGAAAATATCTAATATTCATGTTGAAACTATTTTTGCAGCATTCAAAAAAGTATCTCAATGATATAACACTCTGCAGCGTTTTATTTTATCAAAGATCGATAATCATCAATTCGAAATTTTCTGAAACTTCATTTCCAACTGACAGTTCTCTCTAATTCTTATCTCCAAAAGATTTTTTATTTTTGTTCTGATCGTGAATTTGAAGTTTTCCAGTTGGAGACAGACCAGTAAACTCATGGTAGTCTTTCTTTCGATATCATTCCATCACTTTAGAATAGAAAATGGTTAACTTCCGATTCTCTACATTCCAATACCTTTCATCAAGTTTTAAAACTACTAAAAATATGAATAATAGTCTCAGATTCGAACTCCTCACCAACAATTGTCTGTGGTCAAGTTTCCTTTATGAAAACATAGTAGATTATTCTACTAGTGAAGTGCTGCTGCTTTCAGATAGGGAGACAGATGAACAAACAAACATTTCTATATGTGTGATCCCATCTTTCATAACAGGTAGACAAAGGAACGAACCTTATAATCTGAGTTAAAATTTAATTTATTTTTAGACTACCACGAACACAATACGTTCGTTCTCAAATCAAAAACCCAATCATTATGATCAAGCGAAAAGTGGCGTCTATGTTTATTTATGGTAGACGAACAACGAAAAAAAACAACAAATTAGACGACAAATATAAGGATAAGCGAAAAAAGGAGTATTGAAAACAGATTACAACAACAGCAACTTAAATTGATTACAAAAGCAACAACACTTTATAGTGACAAGCAACACCTTAATAACTGCGCAGTGTTGAATGATTGTTATTGTACATTTAGCACACATAGTTGACTTACATGATGAACAGTACTTCCGAATGTTTGTCAATGTAGTATATCGGTTTTTACCTGCTATGTTTTCTGTCAAAAAAAACTGCATAGTGATAAGTGCTAGTTGTTTATAGTTTAGTTTACCGTTTCTTTTGTATATGTCAATCAAATGCGACCGTATATATTTCCAATTAACTCTTTAACAGTTTTACGAAATTTTGAACCGGTTAGTAAATAAATAAAAAATCCAAATGTATTTTTGAAAAATGTACATGACAAGCCAAAGGCAAGTAATATATTTGTCTGTCCAATGGCTCTGCATGTAAGAGGTGGAACATAATTAATGTAAATTTGAAAAAATAATGTTGGAAATATTGTTAGAGGAAATAATACATCCAAAAGTATTAATGCCAATGTAACAGAATGCATTTGATCAGTTTGACATTTTTTGTTTGGAGAATAGCCAGCGGATACCATTGATTCAGCTGATGATGAACGTCTTTTTTTCTTATCATTACCAAAAAATACCCCATCTCTTATTTCGTAAAGATTTTTTACAATAATAATACAACATATAGTTATAATCAGACATGGTATAATACCGAAAATCAAACCATTGTAGATTGGCCAGATTTTTTTCCAAAAATAACGATAGGATTTACTTGTTGTTGTACAATGACATAAACGTCCATCTGTTAAACATAATGCTTTTGATGGAACTTTAGTAATTATTGGTTGATTATAGAATAATAAAAAATGTAAATTAAGAAT